GGTGAATGAGTGGGTTAGGCTGCTTCGAGAGTCACTGTCAAAGGCATCAGCAAAAGCGGGTTTTAATGTAAATTTGCGAAGATGTAGCTTAACAGAGTCCAATGGCAAGATTTACTCTATCAATTATTACACAGATGAATCACACAAAGGAAAATTGGATTAGAATTGATTTAGAATGATTTACATGGAGATGTAAAAGAGTAAGGGTGTAAAGGGTAATGGTGCAAAAGGGCTTAGCAACACTTTATCATTGACTAATTTAATATTTATGAAGTGATTCAATAGGATTTATTGCAATTACTACAGTGACCTAATTATAGATTGGAGGTAGCAACATTTATACTGTACTTGAGAGGATATTTGAATCAATTCATGTGCATGCACACAGACACAGAGATGTCTGTATCTATATCTATGTGTACAAAGGCACCTGCTAAAAATTCCCCTTGACTTCAGTGAAATACTCATGTTGGATGCCTTTGCACCTGTCAGTGGTTGAAGGGTTGAGCCTCGAGGAGTGGGGATATTAGCCCAGGCTTCATCTTCAGCTTTTAGCAACATTCATCCAAGAATTGCAGACTTGAGGGCTTTATAAGCCCTGAGAGACATCCCACTCAGAGGGAGATGTTAGCACAACCCACTGTGGTCCAGGAGACCTCAAAAGACCTCATTTAGGACCTAACAGGAATCCCTAGGATTGCAGAGTGGCCCCAAAGACAGGGGAGAAAACACACCCCCACACAAGAGAAACGGGACACAACTTGGTTTGGGATTCAGTGGACCTCTGGTGATTCTGGTCCAGTGAATTTCTAAACGTGGTTTTAGAGTTTTGGTAAAAAGTTTCACTTCAGTGTTGGCAAAACTGGTGTCTTGCAACCACTCCAAAGACCACTGCTTCAGGGAAATTGTTTCAGAAGGTAGTGAAAATCTATGACTTGTTGATCAATTTTTGTACTGTCCATTGCAATCAAGGAGGCAAGAATCAACCAAAGTATTTTAGATACATAACTTTCTCCACTGCTGATGTACCCCTTTCTTTTGACATTTCCAGAACCATAAACGTGACATAGTGCAAATAAGACCTGATGGAAGTAGATCTCAGTTAGAGTAGACGTTTCCCGCTCTAAGTTATTGGTGTTTGTTTACTCCTGTTTTTAAAGAAAAGATATACAATAAATCAGAAAGGCACTGAAGATAGTGTCAGAGTACAGCATAGAAGGGTAAAAATTTGGATGCACTGACTGCCACAGGCATCCTGTAAAAAAGGCACCTGTAAAATAGTCACCTCTAGCACAGTGCCAGCCTTGAACACAACTACTACATTTGCTGTGCCCACACCCACAGTTCAGGGGTGCACAGGGCCGGGCACACTGGGAGGGCTGTCAGGGCTGCCAGGACTGCCCAGGGCATGGCAGGGAGGTGACTCAGACAAAGCACAGGAGCGAGTGGAGGTGAGCATTCAAGGACTCAAGCATCTCTCCTATTAGGAGAGGCTGAGAGAGCTGAGGCTCTTTAGTCTGGAGAAAGAAGTTTCAAGGGGGATCTTGTCAAAGTGTATAATCACCTGAAGGGAAGGTGCAAAGACGACAGAGCCAGGCTCTTTTTGGTGGTGCCCAGTGACAGGAGGAGAGGCAATGGCCACAAACTGAAACAGAAGAAGGTCCCTCTTATCATTACAAAACACTTTTTTACTGTGAGGGTGACTTAGCACCGTTTGCCCAGAGAGGTTGTGGTGTCTCCCTCCTTAGAGATATTCAGAAGTCATCTGGACACATTTCTGAGCAACCTGCTCTCAGTGGTTCTGCTTGAGTAGGGGACATGGACAAGATGACTTCTAGAGGTCCCTTCCAATCTCACCATTCTGTGATCCTGTGCTGTGTCCCAATCTTCACCCAGTGCCTACTCCGAAAAGGTGCCCAGTATGCTTTTAGACTCACAGGGGAAAACCTCCCAAGTTTTACTAAAATGTAAATAGCAATACTTACCTTCCTACAATTCACGGAGTCACATTTGTCATTTCATTGTTGGTTGCAATCAATACATTGCAATGTTGTGCCACGTTTCTCTCTGACACAAATGACTCTCCACAACTTTCTTCAAAAAAGAAACAACACAAAATCCACATCCTGAACACATTTACCATGCCCTTCACTTATTGCCTGTAGATACTCACTTGCCAGCTGCACAGGAAGAGACATTAGGCTACTTAGCATCAGTTCAGCAAAATAATGCACATTGTTTCCCCAAGGAACACTAACAGCAAGGCTGCCTCGTGTTGGAGCTTTCTAAGTAAGTACTTTCATCTTTGAAGTTTGGACTTGATGATCTTGGAGGTCTTTTCCAACCTCGATGGTTCTATGATTCCATCTGGACAAAACCATTCCCAATAGCACTGAACTGGCCATAAAAGTGATTTGGGTTTTTTTGCATTTCAACAAAGGCTGATCAGGAAGGAGCACCAATACTCTTCTTCTAGAAGAGTCACTCTAAAGGAAGGACAACTCGAAATCAGACACACTAGTAGACCTCCAGTCAGGTGATAGCAATCCATGGCCATGACTAACAGGGTTATGTGCAAGTCTCTGCCTGTATCTGCACACTCTGATTCGTGAAACCTCTTGGCAGGGTGCTCCAGGAAGCTGTTAGACTTTGCAGGGAGCAAAATCATTATGACTCAGCAAAAATGTTGAGGTGAATGGGCCTCACTCACCACCCACACTGCACCCAGCAAATAATCATCATCATCATCATCATCATCATCATCATCATCATAATCATCATCATCAAATTAAAGGAAGGTTTTTAAACTCCCATAAAGTCAGGTTTTATACGGCTTTAAATTATAATAGTTATCTTTTTCCATGCAGATAAAGCAATCAGGTAAAACAGAACAAAAACACTTGAACAGAACAGCCTGTATACATAACTGTGTCCTTCCAGCAGATCTCCCCTACCAGCCCTTGCTGCGGCTGAGTTACCAAAAAAAAAAAAAGGAAAAAAATGCCAGTTATGGTTGGGTTTCATACCTTTCAGACCACGATTTTATGTAATTAAGATAAGTTTAATAGCTCAATCTCAACATTTTCTAGTCTGTACTCTACATAATTTTGAACAGCTCCTATTGCTGTAGCACCCAAGCACCTTTACTAATAAATTAAGTAATATATATATGACATAGGCTTGGTGTAACAGCTTGTCAGTCTAATCAGAGGTCAGTGTAGAAGAGTACTGTGGTCCTTTCTGCCTTAAAAACAATGTACCATTACTGAATTTATAAATTCTCTACATATTTTTCTATTTTTTTAGTAGATCTTTCTTTCTTTTCTGTCAAATTTCTCACATCTCTTGCAGTAGCTTTGTATTTTTCTTTTTTTTGGGGGGGGGGATTGGTTTGATGTATGTGTTATTTCATATTTGTTTTCAATAGAAGAGACCTCCTCTCACTGCTCTGGTTTGACCACACTGGAGTTGTCATGTCACTTTGAAAAATTTAATTCCCTACTTCTCTCTCTCTGCTTCACATAAATTTGGCATCTTTTCCATTCTCCAAAGTGTGATGACATCCAAGGCAGGAGAAAGACTATGATAAAGCTTGGTTAAGCCAGTGGCTTAGAAGCTAGGCCAAGGACAGCAGGAAGAGATTTTGTTCAAGTATGAACCCAGGACATGAATTTGCCAACCAACTGAAAATACTGTCCTATAAAAGCAGCTTAAGGAATGCAAGTGCACAAAAATTATGACAAACCACATAAAGCATCACAGCTCAGTAATTCACAGTTGTCTCTATATTTTGATAGATGAACATTATAAGTCCAGGCATAAAATATTTAATTATCACTCACTCAAACTGTACAAGTTACAAGACAACACCAGTGGAACTCGCACAACATGTAAAGTGGTAGTTAGGAGTCAGCAATGAGCAAGAAGGAGTTTATACTAATATAAGCAAAAGAGAAAAATAGATTCCAGAAGCAAAACATCCCTACTCTGATAATCAAACACAAAGTTGAGGGTCTGTGACATGAGATACCTAAGGCAAGGTGTTGAAATTACATCAGCTTCCTAATGTGAAGCATTTTTTCTTCCAGACAGCTGCCAGCTAAGCAACCCAGTCCCTCCAGGCCCCGGGCTCTTAATTTCTGAAGCACTGCATTTGTACAAAGTTTCCTGCTGCCTTTAAATATCAGCCCTCTGAATGCCTTTTCACCATATGTAAAAAAATCAGGGACTTTATTTGGACTAGCACACTACCTGTAGAAAAGCTGTGGTCACAAATCCCTTTTCCAGCCTCTGACACCCTACTGGTGCTGGCTGATGTTTTAATGGAGCCCAGGGAACAGATGTTTTCACATGGGCTGAGGCAATGGTCCTGCAGGGAGCCCACCCCTTTGCAAAGCCAGGGAACACAGAATTTAGCTAAAAGGTAAGACCATGTTCCCTTTTAATGAATTCCTCTTTGAGCAGCAGAAGAGCCTAAGATTATCTAGGAAAAATACAAAAAATTCAACCCATTTGTCACCACCTGAAAGTGAGAAAATCCTCCAATGGCCTGGATACACATTGTCCCATGCAGAAATTCTCCTGACATCTGTCAGGCTCTAACTGCTGTGGAACCGCAGAATGATCAGGGTTGGAAATGATTCAAAGATCATTAAGTCCAACTGGTATCCAGCACCAGCATGTTCACCACCAACTCGTATCCCCAAGTACCACATCTACATATGTTTTGAACACTTCCAGGGATGGTGATTCCACCACCGCTGCGGGCAAAGCAGAACACGTGAAGTGCCACGCCCATTGCTAAGACATTTCCTCTCAGTTTGTTCATTTTAAAAAACAAACAGATAAATCAGCATCAGGCTTCTGTAGCCAAACACAACCTCAGACTGGCGGTCGCTTTGTGTCTCTCGCACGCGAGGGAAGGCGGGGAGCGGGGGCCGGCCCCGGCGGGCGTGGGTCGAGGCGGGGCCGGGGCAGCTCCGCTCCTTATAGCGCCCTGGGGCAGCCTGGGGCACGCAGCGACAGAGGGACAGACAGAGAGACAGACAGACAGACAGACAGACAGGCAGGCAGACAGACAGACAGACAGGCAGACAGACAGACAGGCAGGCAGACAGGCAGGCAGGCAGGCAGGCGCGGTGAGCATGGCGATTCCCTGCGTGGAGCTGAGCAACAAGATGAAGATGCCCGCTCTGGGACTGGGCACTTGGCAGGTACCGCGGCGGGCGGGAGGACGGACGGACGGCGGTCCGGCGGGCGCGACTAAGAACAACCGCGATTAAAAGCAGAACCTCCCGCGGTGCGATAGGGGGGCTCCCGCGGGATACGTGTGCCTTCGTACGGACCGTGGGTTCGGTCTCGCCGCCCGCTCGGAGCCCTCGATGGCGGCCGGTTGTGTAACCGGACGGGCGGCCAGGGCGGGGCGGCGACGGCGGCGGGGGGAGAGGACCCGGGGAGGGAAAGGCAAAAAAAAAAAAAAGAAGGAAAAAAAATAAAATGAGGGTCTAAAGAAGGTGGAAGGAGGCAAACAAAAAGAGGGGAAGCAAAAGAAAGCGACAAAATAGACTCGGCGGTAGCGGCTCGCAGCCCCCGGGCGGTGTCACAGTCCCAGGGGGAGCCTGGTCACGGAACCGCCGCGTGGGGAAGATTTGGGGAGAGCGAAGTGGTGAAACTTCTTGGGCAACACTGAGAGCAAGCAAGGGGAAATGGCAATGGTTATTGCGCTGCAGGCAATGGCAGAGCCAAAACGGCTTGCAGAAACAAATTCCTTTCTGTACCTGTTCCCGGCACAAAATGCTGTTTGCCAGGAATCTCGGTTGGAACTCAGGTCAGTGGAGGTGATGAGGAAACTCCAGGAGCTGTTGGAAAGGGGGACTTTGTGGAGCTGTCCCAGCAGTGAGCACTGGCTGGAGAACATGGAAGAGCTCATGGTTGGCTTGTGTTTGATTTCAGGCTCCTCCAGAAAAGGTGGAAGAGGTGGTGAAGTTTGCTATCGATTCTGGCTATCGCCACTTTGACTGTGCCTATTTCTATCAGAATGAAAATGAAATAGGGAATGCGGTCAAGCAGAAGATCAAGGAGGGGGCAGTGAAACGGGAAGACCTCTTCATTGTCACTAAGGTACAAGGATGCAAGATTCCTTGGGCATTTAAATTTCCTTGCAGAGAAACCCTTGCTCTACCTTTTAAAGTAACACAGGGACCTACTCCCTTCTCTGGCATTCATTTCATAGTTGTCTTGTTGTGTGTTTATAATTGTTTGCAATTTGTACTCAGCTTTATCAGGAACCATTGACAACTTAGGATAGATAGCATGGCTATTCCTGATCTAATAATTTCCTTGCATTGATTATCCTGAAGGTTCATTTGTACATACCTAAGAAAGATCAGGATTAAAAGGCAAGGCAGTTGTGTGGATTCATCAGTGCTATGCAAGACATTTGAAAACTGTGTCATGTGCAAATCATAAGCCTGAAAGGGAATAGAAGTCAAAGTATAGGAGTTCATTCTGAAGCATTTTATATGCATTTTCTTTGTTCCTTTATCTCATCCACTTGTCTCAGAAACGATCCTTACCAAAAAGAACACTTCAGCTAATAATCTTATGACTTGGGGTTTTCACCATCGAAGCCAGAAAAAATTTAGGATAACTGAGCTTTTCCATATAAAGCTTTGTTTTTGTTAAAGAACGTGGTTTAATTTAATAATACTTGCAAGTTTTTCAAGTAAACAACTTGAACTTTGATTTCAAAAACATTGACCACTGTTCTCACTGTGGATAGTTAAAAGGGACAGAAGGAACGAGCTGCTCAATACTCAACACTTAGACTGAAAAAAATAATTTTAACAGCTTTGCTGTGTCAGATACCCTTGCCAGAGTGTTACATTTATTTCTGAAAATCTCTTTTCATAAGTGGGAATACTGACTCCACCCTCATGACTGCTGGCTTTGTGGCGTGTTTGTCCTACCTTCTGAGTAAAATGCTGGCATCCTCATCTTCAGCATGCACTGGGAGGGAGTTGCCCTCCCAGACCACCAAGGGAGAAGCTTCTGTCCCATGGTCTGGACTGTGGAGCTGTAAAGTCACAGTCAGGCTTGGTTTCTTCCTACAGTTGTGGAACACCTTTCATGAGAAGTCCTTGGTTAAAGTGGCTTGCAAGAAGAGCCTTGCTGCCCTGCAACTGGACTACCTTGACCTCTACCTGATGCACTACCCTATGGGATTCAAGGTAGTCCTGCCCTACATCCCTTTTCTCCTTACCTGCCTAGAAACATAGTGCATTCTTCATTTTGCAGCTGGGATATGCCATGGTTTGTTTGGCTCTGCCCTGAATCTTTTGGTAGCAAGGATTTGGTGACTAAGTAGTGATATGTTTTAGCACATGGCTTTTCACACTTGCTGGAACAAGAGAGTCATAGGTATGAGAACTGCCAATGTGCCTGCTGGGTCTTCAGGGAAGCTGTAATGAACATGGGATGGTGCAGTTTGGGACTGTGACCCTCTGCCGGGCTTCGAACAGCATGAACATCTCAAATTTTGGAGATGTTGGCTTGGTCTGGAGTAATCAATAGTGAAAAGTGAAGCACAGCACAGAAAGAATGTGCTTCTTCCCCACCCCCCATCTACGTCTGTGTAAAATAAATCAAAAAAATAGGAAAGACGTAGTGGGGGGGTGTCTGTTCCTTTCTCTCTTGATCTGCCTAATTGCTACTAATCCCCACACTCCTTGCATGCAGGGGCTGATTTGGAAAAATATTGCCCTCATCCCAAAGAGACTACTAATGAATGTGCATTATTTTTAGTTATTCAATATGTTTAAATAATCTAATAACTTGCTGCCCGTAGATGCAGTCCAAAGTGCTAGTTCCCAGTAGGAAATTCAACTCTAACAAAGTCTATGNACAGTTGTGGAACACCTTTCATGAGAAGTCCTTGGTTAAAGTGGCTTGCAAGAAGAGCCTTGCTGCCCTGCAACTGGACTACCTTGACCTCTACCTGATGCACTACCCTATGGGATTCAAGGTAGACCTCCCCACACCCCTTTTCTCCTTACCTACCTAGAAACTTGGTGCACTCTTCATTATGCAACTGGGATATGCCATGGTTTGTTTGGCTCTGCCCTGAATCTTTTGGTAGCAAGGATTTGGTGACTAAGTAGTGATATGTTTTAGCACATGGCTTTTCACACTTGCTGGAACAAGAGAGTCATAGGTATGAGAACTGCCAATGTGCCTGCTGGGTCTTCAGGGAAGCTGTAATGAACATGGGATGGTGCAGTTTGGGACTGTGACCCTCTGCCGGGCTTCGAACAGCATGAACATCTCAAATTTTGGAGATGTTGGCTTGGTCTGGAGTAATCAATAGTGAAAAGTGAAGCACAGCACAGAAAGAATGTGCTTCTTCCCCACCCCCCATCTACGTCTGTGTAAAATAAATCAAAAAAATAGGAAAGACGTAGTGGGGGGGTGTCTGTTCCTTTCTCTCTTGATCTGCCTAATTGCTACTAATCCCCACACTCCTTGCATGCAGGGGCTGATTTGGAAAAATATTGCCCTCATCCCAAAGAGACTACTAATGAATGTGCATTATTTTTAGTTATTCAATATGTTTAAATAATCTAATAACTTGCTGCCCGTAGATGCAGTCCAAAGTGCTAGTTCCCAGTAGGAAATTCAACTCTAACAAAGTCTATGTATTTTCTGCCTTGAAATAACAGGCTGGTGAAGAGCTGCATCCTCTGGATGACAATGGTATGAGTATCCCCAGTGATACAGATTTTCTTGACACGTGGGAGGTAAGTTAATATTTGCTTTTGAGAGCAGGTATCAACACTAAAGCTGAAGCAGAGATCTGTGTGCACAATGAAATTAAGGGATATGTTTGGGTATGGAGGATTGTCACAAAAAATTGTATTTTGACCAGAGAGATGCTGCTACCTCTGGATTTGGAGAGCAAGAGGGAGATGTCTCTATTAAGGCTAAAGAGAAGAAGCTATCAGCACTGTAGGTGCTGTCACTAAAATAATATTTGAATACACACAATGGTAGAACCACCTTATAGGTGAATCCAGGTATGACTGTAAATTTACCGTGTGTTTTATACAGATAGGAATTTTTATTGTTATTTATTGAGCTACTGTTATCTAATGTAATGTGAGTTGTTTGTTCGTTTGTCGCTAGCTTGAGGGAAATAGAATAATGTGGTTTGGTTTGCCAGTAATATCACCACCTCATGCACACTCATTGGTTGTCCTTACTCATTAGGCCATGGAAGAACTGGTGGACTGTGGTCTGGTGAAAGCCATTGGTGTCTCCAACTTTAACCATGAGCAGATTGAAAGACTTTTGAACAAACCAGGACTGAAACACAAGCCCGTAATGAACCAGGTGAGATTTTTATTTCCCCTTGTCAGCTAACCTTGGAGTATAGAATCATAGAATAATTAGGATTGGTAGGTACCTTAAGGATCATGTAATTTCAAGGAAACTTTCCACTTAGCAGCATTCCTAAATATGTTGTTATAATATGCATTTCGTATATGTAAAATATATCTTTATATCTATCTAATATAGAATTCCTATAATATATATTTATTATAGAAATTCCTATAATATATATTTAGATTATTCCTAAATATAACCATGCTACACTTCAGCTCTAAAACTGGCTTCTGCCACACCATTTAAATAGTTTTGGTGCCATGGAAAGATCACACAAAGCATAGGTGTCTCTGGTTGCCTGAAAGATCCTTGTGATATGCAAGGCTTGGCTACAGTGTCAGTCTTGATGGTTTTTAGCTGACAGGGATCTCAACAGAAAAATTTTTGTATACTTGTATGTATACAAGTGGAGATTTTAGAGCAATATCTCACAAAGAGTATGGATTATGCATATCACAGTAATATGAAACAGATGAGAATCTTTCAGTTTTATACAGTGGAAAACAGTGAAAATACCCATTACCTTGTATTGGACCCTGGAATTTCCTGCTACATGTCCTCTTTCACACTCCCAAGTATCTCTGGGACGTGTGTATCACAGCCTAAGTTGCCACAGGTCCACGTTTTCCAGCCCTGGGATAACCAGCAAAACCCCCACTGTGAGTTTCTGCACCGGCATGGGAATGTACAGGGATGCACTGGATGTATTTATTTTTCAACATAAAATAAACCATTTCACTCAACTTCATTATGGAAAGGAGGGTTGAAGTATACAACTACATGCAAATTCTCACCACATACCTCAGGAATGTAATCACAGGACAGCAGCAGCACAGGAACCTCCTGACTCTCTTCCATATGCAACTTCTTTGTGCTCAGCTGAGGGTGCTGAATGCCCATCTCTGCCAGCTGGGGAATATCCAGGGAAGTCCCCACACTAGATCCTGTGTTACACAGTGCTGTGATGCTGGCCTTGGGTGTAGTGTTTCGACTGGCAGGCTGAGTACAAGGGGGATATAGGGCTTGGAAAGATTTTACTGAGAGTTATAAAGGTCTGGTGGGTGAACCCAACTACCTCCCACCTCTTTTTTTCCCCTCCCTGCCCCCCTTAAAAGCTGCACCTACTTCAGCAGCTTAAAGAACTTCAGACTTTGCCTCCAGTTTGCTTCTGCATGGCCCGTGCCACACATTGCCTTTACAGTAGTTGCCTAATCTAGCTCAGGGTCTAAATACACTACTGTACATGTGTTTTGTGTCACCATGCCTGGTAACTAAGCTACAGCATTTAGAAACAGCTGGGTATGTGCACAATGCCTTGTAAAACAGCATAGGCACAGCCCTGTGGTCATACCATGGCTTGTGGCAAGTTGAGCAGCATCCCTATGTAGCTCCTGTTCTTTTCAGTTAAAGGACATCTTTCCCAAATGGCTGGTTGCAACAGGAACTTGCTTTTCTAGGTTAGCTCAGATCATCTCCCCAGGCTTCTACAGGTATCAGGGTAGACTGCTTGAGGCAAGGAGACATTGGGTGACTCTGAGCAGAAAATAAATTTCAGGTATTCTGAGCTGGCCCTCTGAAGATGCAATAACTGCTCTGCAGTAGTCCAGAAAGACTGATTTCCCAGATTCCTGACACAGAGAGCACTTTCACGCCTCCATATTATTTTTCACTGTCAGTGTGTAATGTGTAGCATGAGAAAGCTCTGTTTTCTGTGCTAGGCTTCTAGATATTGCTATGACATTAATAATTCTTCATAAGATAAATTTGAATCATGATACTGAAAGTCAAGTCTTCACATTTTCTCTGAGCCAAGAGGAATTAAAATGCCTCTTTACCAACCATGTTTCTGTGCTTGCAGATTGAATGCCATCCATACCTAACCCAGGAAAAGTTGATCAAGTACTGTAAATCCAAAGGGATTGCTGTGACTGCCTACAGCCCCCTTGGTTCTCCCAACCGCCCATGGTAAGAAAGCATTGCAGTCTTCCTGTACACAAAACAGTGCAGTTGTAGCTTGAATCTTTGAGGCAAATTATGTGAATAATGCAGGTAAAATGAGAAAAGTGCTGTTGATTTGTTGCAGATTATGTCATACAATGTAAGGCTTCCTGCAGGGAAGCTATGATCTTTCTACCACCAATATTCCTATTTCTGAATAGGGCTAAGCCAGGGGAGCCTGTGCTGCTGGAGGATCCCAAGATTAAAGAGATTGCAGCTAGACATCATAAAAGCCCTGCCCAGGCAAGTGGGGTTGTCAGGGCAAAATATTCCTCTTCTTCAGATGTTTTCAGGCTGATAACCAGCCTCAGCAGATGTGCCTTCTTTAGAGATACAACATAACAGGGCTGGACTGCATTAGGCTCTTCATTCTGCCCAAGTTCTTCACAGCATTCATGTAAATGATCAGTTATTTTCTAAGAGGCCTTGAGTATGAAGTTTTGGGGTAGACTGATCAGCAGTGGTACATGCTTGGGTGTTTATCTTCCTAAACCTTTTATTCCTTTCTTCAGCTAAGTTAGCTAAGTTATTCTTGAGAGAAGTCCTGTAATTTGCAGACTTATTGAATTGCACCCTGTCTGCTCATGTTCACATAGAATTGTTGAAAGGTACTTGATTATTTAAGAATAAATTTCTTTGTTAGTTGCCACTCACACAAATGGGTGTAGAAACTGCACTTTGAAAAAACACACACGTTCACAAGCAATCAACGACAATCATATTTTAAAGACAGGCAGAGCAGGACAAAAGATTGTATGCAACAGTTCTCTTTTTGGTATGGGGATGGACGACATACACACTTTTAAATTCTAGAAATATGCTTTTTCTTTTATGGATTTCAAAAAGCTTAACATAGGTGAGGTAATTACCTGTGAGTCCAAAATAATCTGCAGTATCATTGTGCTCACTCGGGTTGAGCATCCATGTAATGCAAGCCAGAAGCATCATAATTTTTCTCCCCCTGCTACTACCCTTAATGAAACCAAAACAAATGCTGGAAAAAACAAGATGGAGAAACAACGTAGGCCAGAAACAATTAAGGTTTGCCAGTAGACTGGTAAATATGTGTGCAAATGTTGGCATATCAAATTCCTGTGTGCAAATTGGTAGTCTTCCAAAGAGTGAATATGCTTGTAGAAAAACAAATTGTTTTGTGCATTTAAACAAAAGTAAGAGCACAAAATGCACTTGAACAGACTTCTTGGTACCCCTGTGTTCATGCTCCTCCTTGTTCTTCCCCAGGTTCTGATCCGCTTTCTTATCCAAAGAGACCTCATTGTCATTCCTAAGTCTGACAAACCGCAGCGTGTTCAGGAAAACATGAAGGTGAAGTTTCCATTGGGACTGCTGGTACCTTTTTTCATGCAGGATAGACACTCACACTCATAGCTCCCCCGTGTTTCCAAGCAGCACCTAAGAGGCATTGGAAGGGGAGTGCAGAGGTGGGAAGACTGAGGCTTCATCAGCTACCTAACCATCTGTGCTTTTTCTCTGGGAAAAAGCATTTTATTCCTGCCAGGAGAGCAATGGGTTCCAACAGAGTTGTCTGAGTTCTGTTGTCCTGGAAAGGGAATCCCAGTTTTGGGCTTGACCCGTGGGAAACACTTAGCAAGTCCTACTTTAAGGTGTAAAGAAACAAGTGGTGAACAGCAGACCTGTTACACTTTATGTCTCACTTTGAGGCTGTGGTTCCTCTTGGCAGAGAAGTTCAGCTGGACATTGGCTTATAAGACCCGGCATCTTAAATGATACCTCTGTTACTTTTCATCCCTGCTGCTGGGTTTGGAGCTCTTTCTCCTATGAACCACCAGCAAGAATTGCTAGATGATTGATTAGCTTGAGACAGCTCTTTGCAGTTGGTACCCAGTAGTCTTCTGTTGTAGCAGAAAATTTACCTCTGGGTCCAGGGTTTGTGAGACATCAAGTAATCCATCCTGAGCACCTGAAGTCTTCTCTTGGTGCATTACAACACAAACTGCAGTGGTGTTGGCATTCAACCACCCAGAACTCTAAGATATTCCTATAAAGATCATCTCAGAGAGAGAAGGACTATATTGATTACTTCATGGGTAAATTTTTATTTGGCTGAGAAATGAGAGTATTTCTTAACTATGCTTAATATGTTCCTACCTCAAGTCATAAAAGCATGAAAAAGCACAAGCTAACTACTCATGAACCTACGTAAAAAGAGCTTTTTTTTTTCTTTCCCTGTTAGGTGTTTGACTTTGAACTGTCCAAAAAGGAGATGGATGTCATCCTCAGCTTTAACAGGAACTGGAGGGCAGTTCCAGTGTTGCCGTATGTTATTATTCTTACTATCCATTGGGCCTATTTCTGTCTGTATTTTCATCCTCCATGTCTTGAAAACATACATGACCAAAATCATGGAGAGTTTGTACTTTAAACCCTGGAGCCCAGCTAATGAGGCATGTCCTGGAACTGACACCAGGAGGGAGATTCATTTGGAGTGCTCCTTTCAGCATATTACATGTGTTACAGGTGTTACATGTGCTTTCTCACAAGCCTGTGTTCAATTTAATGACATCTGCAAAACTGAAGTATATTGGAAGTGGGGGGGGATGAGGAGACTGCAATAGGGAAATGCTGCCAAGCTACTTTCTATGGTACTTAAATGACGAGTTCTTTCTCTTTTCAGAGCTGTCAATCACAAGGACTACCCATTTAAAGCAGAATATTAAATGCAAGCGGTTTCTGCAAGACCTCCATTTAAGTACTTCCAGATCAGAAGATTCACTCTGTAGCTTGGTTTGATTTCTTTTTCTGTACTTGACAATAATTATGAACAATTCCTTTTCCTCCTTTTCTAGGAGGAGATCACCAGTTGATGTAAGAATGCATCAATAGGGCTGGGGTTTTTTTAACAATGGTTATCAGAAAGCTTGTTTTGATTATTAGTAGAAAGACAATGTATTTTGTTTCCTTTTTTCCTTGTCTTCCTCAGTTAGAGACATGTCTAACAAAAAAATCTGGTTACTTACCTGATTTTTTTATATTTCTGGTGTGGTCAGTCATACTGGCTCGAGTCACCGTCGAGGAATGCTCTAATCACTTTGCTTTTTATATTGTTGTGATTTTTATAGAATATATTTCTAATACTTAAAATTTTATATGAATAAAGTTTATTAACAACAAAAGTTGATCAGTGTAGTGCTTAAATTTTTTCATACAGTTAGTTAGTCATTTTTATCTAAAGTCTGGGGGTTTACAAATTTTAATACAGATAGAACTAAATTTCTATAATTCCTGTACAAAGACAGTACATACAGACATACCTACATGTTTGATGGCTTAAGCATCAAACAGGATTGTGCTGTAGTTAGGACCTAGAGAACAAAGTTGCACTTCTTGCCTCATGTACTCCTTTCTCTGAACACCTAGAAATTGAAGTCTTGTGTGATTAGTGATGACAGCTGAAGGCAGCATCACATCCAGTGATAACATACATTAAAATCCACCCAGCTGAACATAAGGGCTACCTCCAAAATCCCACTGACTTGCAACGGGAGCCTCAAAGAGAAAATTAGATTTTGGTAACTCTGCTGGCAGTATCCAGAAGAATATATTGAGACACAGGCTGGCTTTACCTAAGGGAAACAGAGAGAAAGTTCGTAAAGAACACCAAAGGAAACTCTGAGGCAGACTCACAATTAATTGCTTTAAAATATTTTAATGTAGATATTGCTGGGCCAAAGCCAAGTTGTTTTGTGGCATTCTGCTGATAAGAGATACTCTGGCTAGAATGCAGAGTCAGCTGCAGGAAAGTAAACGACAGTTTCGTTTTGTCTGAAAAATCATCACTTAAAAATGGCATTGAAATACCCAAAAAATCTTTACAGCGTTGCTGAGTCAGCCCCCAGGACTTGTCTTTGCTGAATTCTGCCAGGAGGTGGTGCCATGTGGTGGGAACAAAACACGGCCACGCCATTTGACAGCGTTTCCTAAAAATAAACCTGATTGTGCAGAGCGCGATTCCACGCTCTCAAAAATGGCAGGAACCA